CTATTCAAAGTATTCACAGTACTGTATATTCATGATGACTCTGTGGCCTATATAAGATGTTTTACATTGTTATAACATTGCAATTATTTTAATGCACCTTTTATTTGGCTATTAAGTAGAACGTCATTATATTAATTTTCTCTTCCATGAGTTTCAAGTAAAATTTGTTTTAATATTAGATTTTTTTTTTTACATTTAATTAGCAGAAATACTAAAGCTGGACTCTGGAGCTGGTTATTTTGATTCATTTCTGTCAATCGTTTTGAGATGTCTTCATGTGACACTTTTACTACATACGTTTTATTGAACAAGAGAAAAAAAAGATGATCATTTAGAAAAAAAAACATTGTGGAAACATGGCTAGATTTGTACTTTATTATCACTGTATTTTACTACATTTACATTAAATAATTAGAATGTAATTGCTACATTTGTTGTTTTATTGAAATGGTGGCCTGATGGATACAAAACATTTTAAGGTATTTATTTGTAAGACTGTTGAGTAGTAGATGGTTATTGGTCAATAAATTCACCTTCCCTTGCTTTATACAGAAAAGGGTGTAACGAATTCAGTCCACTGAAGGCGAGTTGAAGTGAGAACCCAAGTGCAGTTTATTCAAACAAGGTGAAATCCAAACATCCAAACAATAAACGAAGACTAGAGACACAGACTTGATGAGGCATGAACAGGCTTGACTTGACATGAACAGGCTTGAACAGACTTGACGAGGCATGAACAGACTAGACTCACCAACAGCGGGTTACAACATCAATACACGATGAGAGACAATGGCAACATGATGGCTACTTATAGCAAACAAGACAGGCAGGACAGGCAGTGAATTCATGGACGGCCCTCTTAGTCATGACAGGGCAGACTATGAGTTCAAGAACGGCCTCCATGGCCATGACAGGGCAGACAGTGAGTTCGTGAACGGCCTCCGTGGCCATGACAAGACAGTCTGTGAGTTCGTGAACGGCCTCTGTGGCTGTTACAGGGCAGGCAGTGAGTTCAAAAGCGGATGCCGCCACCTCTGGAGGTTCTGCAGCGGATGCCGCCACCTCTGGAGGTTCTGCAGCGGATGCT